AGGTTGTTGAGACATTAGATAAGAGGTGGAATGAGGTGTGATCTTGGCAAAGGTGGCCGGCTCAATTGCCTGGCCGACTCAATGGCCGATTACGTTATATAATTTATAATATATAGCAGCCTTATTAGCTACCTATAGGTTAGCAACCTAGTTGCGCACTAAAACTAGTAAATGTGCTATTAGCTCTGCGCCTTTATTAAGCTAATTAAGTCCACTCTTAAATTAGCTTTAATTAAGACCTAAACTCTAGGGTGTTGCTTATTGTTTTAGACTCCTAGGTAATCTTATCTATAGGGGGTAGTAGTAGAGTATATAACTGTATATTAAGCTTTAATATTACAGCCTCTAGGTTAAGTAGGACTAGGCTAGCGCCTCTAAATCCTCCCTAGATATTACTCTTTATAATTAAGGCGTTAAAAGCTACTTTAAAGCATAGCAAGAACCTAAGTTCAGTAACGTACTCCACAAGCATGCCGGTCACCCAAGTGTACCGGTCACTTTTGCTGAGACCACACCAAACTTTACTTTACTAACAATGCCTCAACGCAGCAACATGAAAAAGCTCTCTAATGAAGCAGACATACAGCTTGCTCTCCAGGCTATCCAACAAGACGCGACGCTCTCTCAGCGACGCGCTGCAGCAATCTACAACATCTCTCAAAGCACGCTTAGTGACCAACTTGCTAGAGCCACCCCACGCTGCGACTACACACCTAATACTATAAATCTTACAAAGAATGAAGAGGAGGTAATTGTCTAGCACGTGTTGAGGCTAGACGAGCGAGGATACTCGCCCCAGCTTGCTAATGTAGAGGATATGGCCAATTCTCTGTTTGCTGAGCGCCACCAGCCCTACATTGGCAAGAACTAGGCTGCCAACTTTGTTAAACGTCAGCTAGAGCTTAAAGTTAAATTTAATTGTAAGTATAACTATATAAGAGCTCTATATAAGGATCCTAAGGTAATTAGGGACTAGTTCTAACTAGTAGAGAATACTAAAGCTAAGTATAGTATACAAGATAAAGACACCTACAACTTTAACAAATCTAGCTTTATAATAGGCATTATATTAATAGGAGCTGTTGTTACAGGCTCTAAGCGTTAAGGGAGACTAAAGGCAGTGCAGCAGGGCAACTAAGAGTGGACTAGCATTATCTAAGGCATCTGCGCGAAGGGCTGGTCTATCCTACCCTTTATTATCTTCTCTAGCAAGCACCACCTCTCTGCCTAGTATAAGGAGCCTAGTATACTTAACAACTAGGTTCTTAATGTCTCTAACAATAGCTAGACTAACAACAAGCTTAGAGTTAAGTGGTTAAAGCACTTTAATAAGCACACAAAGGCGCGCACTGTTGGCAGCTATTAGCTGCTTATTCTGGACGGCCATAAGAGCCACAACTTAGTCGAATTCCACCAGTACTGCAAGGAACACAAGATTATTACCCTGTGTATGCCTCCACACTTGTCGCACCTACTACAGCTACTTAACGTAGGCTGTTTTTCTCTGTTGAAGAAGGCCTATGGCCGCCAAGCTGAGCGGCTAATGCGCAGCAAGATTACGCGTATCACTAAACTTGAGTTCTTGCTGTGCTTCAAAGCAGCTTTTGACGCCTTAATTATAGAGAGTAACATCTAGGGAGGATTTAGAGGTGCTGGCCTAGTCCTACTTAACCTAGAGGCTGTGCTATTAAAGCTTAAAGTATGGCTGTATATGCCAACGCCACCTACTGTAGACAATAGTACGTGGGAGTCTAAAACACTAAGCAACACCCTAGAATTTAGGTCTTAATTAAAGCTAATTTAAGAGAGGATTTAGAGACATGCTAATAGCTTGCTAATGTCTATAGTTAATGCTCTTAATTAGCTTACTAAAGGCGTAGAGCTAATAGCGCATTCACTAGTTTTAGTGCGCAACTAGGTTGCTGACCTACAGGCAGCTAACTACTCTAAAGGAGTTTAAGGCCCTTAGTGATAGGAAGAAGGCAAAGAAGAGGTCACGCGTTGATAGGAGCACTTAGTCTTTAAGGCGCTGTAGCATATGTGGCAAGACAGGGCACAACAGAACAACGTGTAAGAAAGATGCGTAAAGTACTATAGATTAGTATAATATACTGTGTAGCATAGTAGAATGCTGCTTTGTACTATAGTACTGCAAAGTAGTTATAGTGTTGGTGTGGTCTTGGCAAAAGTGACCGGTACACTTGGGTGACCGGCATGCTTGTGGAGTACGTTAATGCGCGTGATCTTGCTGCGCATTAGCCTCTTAGCTTAGCAGCTATAGGCCTTCTTTAACAGGGAGAAACATCCTATGTTACGCAGCTGCAGTAAGTGTAATAAGTGTAGAGGCATGCACAGAGTAATAATCTTGTGCTCCTTATAGTACTAGTAGAATTTAACTAAGTTATAGCTCTTATAGCTATGTAGGACAAGCAGCTAATAGCTACAAATAGCGTACACTGTTGTATACTTATTAAAGTGCTTGAACAACTTTACTCTAAGCTTATTATTTATCTAGCTATTATAAGAGATATAGAGAACCTAGCTGTTAGGTATACTAGGCTCTTTATACTAGGCAGAGAGGTAGTACTTACTAGAGAAGATAGTAAAGGGGGGGATAGACTAGCCCTTTACATTAATACCCTAGATAATACTAGTCTGCTCCTAGTTACCCTGCTATACTATCTTTAGTCTCCCTTAATACCTAGATCCTATAACAATAGCTCCTATAGATATAACACCTATTATAAAGCTAGATTTTTTAAAGTTATAGGTGTCTTTATCCTAGATACTATACTTAGCTTTAGTATTCTCTACTAGGTAATACTAGTCTCCTATTACCTTAGGATCCTTATAAAGGGCTCTCTTATAGTTATACTTTTAACTAAACTTAACTCTAAGCTCTAGCTAATGTTTAACAAAGTTAGTAGCCTAGTTCTTGCTAATAGGGGTCTAGTAGTGATTAGCAAGTAGAGAATTAGCTATATCCTCTACATTAGCAAGCTAGGGTGAGTAGCCTTGCTTATCTAGCTTTAGTACGTGCTAGACAATTACCTTCTCCTTAGTACTAGCTAGCTTAATTATGTTAGGCTTGCAATTGCGTTGTTAAGTAGTTCTAGCAAGTTAGTTACTAAGGGTGCTTTAAGACACATTGCAGATTATAGTAGCGTGTTACTAGGAGAGTATTACGTCTTTTTAGATAGCCTATAAGGTAAGCTGTATATTAGCCTTATTTAGAGGCTTTTTTGTGTTATTGCGTTAAGACATTAAAGGTAGAGTGAACTTTAGCGTGGTCTTGGCAAAAGTGACCGGCTAGCTTGGGTGACTGGCTCGCTTGTGGAGTACGTTAGTCTAAGCAACTATACCCTACCTTACCTATAGCCTTTCCAACTCTACCCTACCTATACCTATAGCCTGTGTGACCCTACCCTACCTATACCCTGGTCCGTGCGACCTATACCCTACCTATACCCTACTCTAGGTAAGGGGTACCCATCCGCCAGTCTAGTCTCCCCTACCTAAAATCACCGCAAGAGGCTGCAACTCGTGTTTACTAGCTAAATATGAATAGCACAATTAAAGCGTAAGACTCTATAACGTAGATTATCACCAAGCTAGCCATATCACTAAACTAGTCATTTTCTCTTAGCACAACTAACACAAGTTACTACAACTATAACTACTTACTATTAAATAGTGACCTAGCATACTGTGTGCTTGTATTAGATTTAGAAGATATTTCTACACCCTCCTAGCACGTTTGTGCGTTGTGTCTAGTCTTTCTATAGTTCCTATAGCGCTAAATAGTTAATTAAGCTCCTAGTTAACTACCTCTACCCTAAGTCTTCTTAGATGGCTAAGCTGCTACAGACACCTTAGCAGCTACCTGCAATACTGCTAGGCTATACTTAAGTGTGCTACTATGCTAAATCTACTTTCTCTTACGCAATTTTCTCTTAGTTATTACTGTAACGGTCTAGACTCTAAAGCTAAAGAAGAGCTAGAGCTAGCCGGTTACATTAGCTTAGCCGGCTTGGCTAAAGCTGGATATATATTATCTACGCAGTTAACTAGACATCTAACGTATTCCACCACCCAACAGCTTAAACCACCCAATAGCTTAAAATGTCTTGGCACAACTAACACTAGTTACAAGTTTCTATTTTTATTACTATTATACAAGGAGCCTGTGTACACTGTACTAACCTCTAATTTAGAAGTCTCCTCTACATCCTTTTTACACGTTCGCGCGTTGTGCCTAGTCTTGCTGCAGTTCCTACAGCGCTGTAAAGCTGGTTGGGCTCTCTCTTGATCACCACCACGACAAGCCTTCTTCGACCGCTCAGCGGCTATAGAGGCCTCTGCGGCCACCTGGGCTGCTGCCTCACCATACTCTATTGTGCCGCTATGCTGGATCCGCTTCCTTTTGCGCGATTTCCTTTTAGTCATCACTGCTAATTGCTCTTCAAGCTCAGTAATCTGGGCTGCTTAAAGCACGTTCTGATACAGCATAAGCTCGCCACCTCTAATAAGCTGAGAGAAGCCTGCCTGCGCAGTAATAGGAGAACAAGTAAAGGACTCGCATACAAGTTTTAATTATAATCTAAACTTATGTATATTGCTTAAGTCTTTAACTACTACAGCGTCTCTAGGAGGAGGGGTTCTAGTAGGGTACATAGCTGTACTTTAAGGCAATCTAATACAACCTGCGTGTTAAGAGGGATAAGTCCTAATACCTTAAAGGCCTTGTAATAGATTACCTCTATAAATATATTACAAAACACGTCTTTAAAGGCTAGTAGGAAGCCTTCTTTATTAATATAGAAGACGTGCTTATGTGCTAACGTAATCGGCCATTGAGTCGGCCAGGCAATTGAGCCGGCCACCTTTGCCAAGATCACACCTCATTCCACCTCTCATCTAATGTCTCAACAACCTGATCTTAGATTACTTCCTTGTGAGGATAGGATAATCCTTGCTATCTAAGCTATAAAATCTAACGCGTTAATAAGCTAACAGCGCGCTGCTGCTATCTATAACATTCCTTAATTAACCCTCTAAGACTAACGCGCTAAAACTACCTCACAACGCAATTCCTACCACGGCAGATCAAGGCTTACTAAGCCTGAAGAGGAGGTAGTTATACAATACATAAGGAAGCTTGACGCGTGAGGCTTTGCCCCTACGCTAAGCTACGTACGTGAAATGGCCAATTAACTGCTAGCTGCCTATGGTGGTAGTAAGGTTGGAGAAAAATGGGCTAGGCACCTTGTAAACTGGAAGCCTAAGATTAAGTCTTAGGTAACTAGACAGCGCGATCACTAGAGAGTCTTGTGCAGTGATCTAGCTATTATCAGCCCCTAGTTTAACCTTGTGCGCAACGTTAAAGCTAAATATGGCATCTAGGACTAAGATACCTACAACTTTAACAAGACTAGCTTCTAGATAGGTGTTAGAGGGTCTGTTAAGGTGGTAACAGCGTCTAAGAGGTGTCTTAAGCCACTTAGAGTCTAGCCTAGTGACTGTAAATGGGCGACGTTAATTGCCGCAATTAATGCTATAGGGTAGGTTATCCTGCCCTTTATTATCTTTAAAGCGAAGAACCACGACTAAGCCTAGTATTACAACCTAAAGGATTGGCGTATTGGTGTTAGCAAGAATGGCTGGACAACAAATGAACTAGGCCTAGAGTGGCTGAAGCACTTCATCCAGCATACAACAGCCCGGACAGTGGGTAGCCACCAGCTGCTGATTATTGATGGCCATAAGAGCCACAAGTCGCTTGCCTTCCAGGATCTGTGTGAGGAGAACAAAATTATTACTCTCTGTATACCTCCTCACACCTCCCATATCCTACAGCCACTTGATGTGGGCTGTTTTGCCCTATTAAAACGAGCATATAAGACAGAAATCAATGTCTTAGCAAATAGCTACGTCACTTACATTAACAAGAAAGCATTCTTAGCTGCCTTTAATTAGGTGTTTAATAAGGCGTTTTTATCTAATAATATCTAATTAAGCTTCTGAGCAAC